CGTACACGAAGCGCATCTTATACCGGTAACCTTTGGTCACTCCAGTGATCAAGTTCTGAACATGGCTGAGAGCCGTGCGGATCGCCGCCGTCGACTTTCGGGATCCAAACCAAGCGTCCACCTTCAGCTTCTTGCCGCCCTCAACAAGCTCGAAGTCGAGGTTAAGGTGCTTGAAATTGCGCGTAAGTTTACCCCGAGGTCCCTCCACTTCCACAATTTTCGCCTTAACCTTTACAGTGACTTCTTCCGGGATGTCCATCGTATGCGAGGAGAGGATCGTCTTCATCTTCGAGCTGTATATCTACTTCTCAGGTTCGAGAATGGAGCCGGAAGAAGAAAGGCCGTCGAGAATCGAGAAGAAACCTAGCGAAACCCTAGATGAACCGAAGTTTATATACCATCAGCATGCGGGTCGGGTTTGGTGTGATGCGGTTAGAACTGAACCCGATAAGTTTTTTTTTTTTCTCTAAACTAATAGTTAACACTAATCTTACACTCCAAAAATGGGATATTTAAAACTTTCTTTAAATATGATCCACTTCTATTTGATTCATCCAATTAAAGTTTTTTCTTTTTATTATATCTTTTTTTACTTTAAAAATAATAATTTAGAGTTAAAAATATTTAATGAATAACCAATATATTCAATCTAGTCACTTTATTTCTTCATACAAGTCATTTACTCTCACATAAAAACCCATATTCATCTACATAATCTATAGGACAATCTTCTATAATAGTAACATCCATCTTATTACGGGCTAGTAGATTTTTTATCTTAGCGATGCATGAATATCTAATACTTAAATAAATAATTTGAGATAGCTATGAATCAACAAAATTTTTTTTGGTGAAACCCCGTAAAGGGAAAAACCACGAGATCTTGCTTAGGTGAAAAAAAGATTTCACTATATTTAAGTAAGTTACAAAGGTTGACTTGTCCCTTAACTTGGAGACGGTGAAGTTACATAGTACACAAAATCGATCAAAGTTCATATGGACGTATGGGAGTTTGGATAACTGTGGTCGTGCAACGAGGGTTGGAAAAGCGCATAGTCGGGCGATGGGGGTCTGAGGACCTTGGTCGACAAGCGACATAGGTCACAAGATTGTAAATGGAAATTATATTCTTGAAAATATTAATATGATTTGATATGTCAATAACACCCTTGTAAATCTTGAGATTTAGAGTCTTGAAATTCGTTATGATTATCCCTTCAAGAATTTTAGGAACAAATGGATAGTTATGAATATGAATACGAATGGGAGGAAATGAAAGGGTGTTATGGATGATGATCATATCTTTATTGATAATATACTCTCCTCCTATATATATGTTGAAGTGTTTGGACAAAACGAGTTGCCTAGTAAGTGTATGAGGCATTAACAATCTTAGTAAGGGTAATAGTTAGTTAATAACTATAGATCATCAAAGTAGGTACGTAGAAGTTCTTGGGTAACTATTGCTTCTCAAAGATGCCCTTGCATGTTGTAAAAGAACAAACTATATTTGTAAAGAAGAATGGCCACAAAATTTTTTTTTTGTCATTAATAGTATAAGGGTTCTTCACATATGGCATATTTATTTTTGCAATTAATGTATTGTTTTATATAAATAATTTATTTTTTTCATTAGAAAATAAAGCGAAGTATAAGACACGTGCAATATTGGCCTATTATTTTCAAGTGAAACATTGTCTACATGCACCTTCGAGCCTATCCCTTTGTCTCTCTTGTATGAAGACAACTGAGTATGATACACATAAGCCCCCTAAAAAAGTATGAAATTTGCACAAAATCAAAACAATACTTATTAATATATGATATTGCCCTCTGAAGGACTGAATAGGAAGTTGTATTGTTGCCTTGAACCTCGGTACAATTTGTCGTGTCGCTAAGGGGCCCAGTGTTGTATAGTTGAGCGCTCCAACACTGTGTAGTGAAACCCCATCATTGTGTTTCCAAGCACCCCGGTGCTGCAAATTTCCTAGGAGAAACGACAGAGAGCAAAGCGCCGCAATACTTTAAATTAAGCGCCGCAACGCTCTAAATTTCGTGTCGCAGTGTTGTCAGGCAGACTAGAGACAAAGTGTTGAGCGTTGCAGTGCTCTAGACTAATGTTGTGTGGTTCGAGGTGGATTGTACAGTTTTCTTTCTCATTTTTCTTATGGGTCGCATCCTTTGGTGGTTTTGATTTGTGCTTTTTTCTTTTGTTTCTTGAGTGAGAACGGTGTAAGAGAGAAGAGAAGCAAGAAGAGGTTGAGAAAGAAGAGAGATATGTACTTATTTCTCTCAATTTTCATAATGAATTTCTTGGTGTTTGTGTGACTCCGTAATTTTTTCCCGATTTCAGGTTTTTAAATTCTGGCATTCTTTACTTGCCACATCATTCTTTTATTTCTTATTTATTTTGTTGTGTGGTTTACTTCCTCATTATCCCCAATAGAAGCCTTTTCATTCCTCTCACCCTTGGCCTTCCCTTATTGTCCTAATAACCTCGCGACCTTCCCTCGTGCCTCTAACTCCATTTAATTTGTGTCAATGCAAACTCACCACTTGACAATGCAAACTCACCACCTGGAAGTGGAAGCGAGTCATAAGGAGGAGAAGGAAGGAAGAGAAAGCAGGGTTGAAGATGATTATCACATTTTACTACTGCCAGTATTGACTCACCACCTCCATCTCCAATCTCTTCATTTACAAGTCCAAACTTTTCTGTTGACTGTCTAAAGATCTCTGCTTTTGATTGTCCAAAGTTGTATTTCTTAATGTTTATGCTTGTATAAGAAATTCCTAAATAAGAATTCACATAAATCAATCATTCTTCACAACAAATTTTTGAACAAAGAGTTGTCATAATTTGTTGAACATATTTAATTCTCCTCTGAAGCTTTAATCAAATCTAGCTTGCTCCCGCAGCCCCATTAACTTGTCTGCAGCAGTTAACATCTTGATTTTTTTTTTTTATGATATAGCTATTCATGCAATAACGCTTAAGTACTTATTAGCTCGAAAATTGGATTTGAAGGGCCTTCGTCAGGTGGTGGCTCTTCTCCTGTAGCTTCCTTCGTAATGTTTTTTTTTTATCATTGATCTAGTCAAATTTGCTGTTGTGCTTGTTGCCTTGAGAGCTTCTAATAAGATTTTCCTGATAATTCATAAATGTTTCAGAAAGTTCTACAGTTCTTCAGACCAGTAAGATCCCAACACAGTTGATTGATACAAACCCATATTATTATTGTCAGAATTGATCTCTCTTTGATATCTCATCATTTCAAGTAAATAGTCGGCTCCATCAGCCTCTTGTTTATCATTATCTTCTCTGTTCAGAAAAAAAGAAAACAATTTCCTTCAGGCAATTGAAAAACAAGAAAGAAAGATGTAAGAAAAACAAGTTTATTATATCAAGCATGCCTAATATAAAATAATTATTTGTAGTAAACTGCAAGTATGTGTAGTTTATGACCAACTTGAATTCAAATGTACATGCAATCAAGTTTAATTTTAGAGAATGAGATTTGGTTTAATATGCCAAAATCTCAAAACGCTCCATCAGACAGTTCAAAGAGATCATCATTAATTATTTAATTGTTGTTTAATGCTCGAGTGTCTTAATGATGTTGAAATTAATTGATATTGAGGTTATTAGATTTATATATTGAGAAACATGTTTGATTACAATCAATCAATACAACCAATCAATATTCAAAGTGTGTTTAGATATTTAATTATCATTATGAATTCTCTATTATGTTTCGAGTACTTAATTTGAGCTCATTTGTAGTTGCATTGGATTAATTATTGATATATAATAAAAAAATTATCTTAATCGGGCATGAATCCCGAGGCAAGTTGAATCCGAAACTTTCGAAATTAATTCAGGGACCATCATAACTTTGATTTTAGCAAATTTATAGTTGAATTGAACATCTTGAAAAGATGAACCCAACGAAACACAAATAGATTAAGTCCATGACCAAATTGGTCCAAATCAAGGGTCCAAAATTACATTTGGAAGCTTCAAATCATAAGTAGAAGACTAAATGATTTCCAAATGTGACTTGCTTATGGTTGAATCAAGCAACTCAACTAGAGAATCAAATAAGCCTAATATCCTCAAATTCTGACATCATTAAGGCATTAAAATGCTCGACAAATGATCTGTAATCAAAGGAATTAATACCGGTCATCCATAAAAAACACTCCCGATATGACATTGATCTTCTTCATATTTACTAGCCATGTTATTCCAAAAAAAAATATAAATAAACCTCAAATCTTTATAAAAAGGAGGAAAAAAGTAGAGGAATAAAGAAGAGACATCTAAGATTTCTCTTGCCATCAAGCTCCTCCTCGACCACCGCCTAGCCACCGACTATTGTCGGGCTTCAAACTTCCACCCTGCCGCCGGCCGACTTAGAACTTCCGCTCAACCACTGTTTGTTGCAAGTTTTCCGCCTAATTCTCAATATTTTGTAATTTCATTGTTTCCAACTTAAAAGGATATATCAAGCTTTGTAATATATTCTAATAATAGTGGAATCATTTCAACTGAGTCAACCCTTTGGTTTTTATCTTTTTTTTTTTTTTTGGATTTTTCATGTACAAATTCTAGTGCTTTATCTTCTCTATTTGTGTGCTGAATATTCGTGCAATACTAAGACGAAAATCTCTCGCACTCTACTGCCATGTATATTCTTGCCCGCATCACTTACGATGTTTAAAAATTCATTTCATCGAGACGTTCCCTCACCTATAAATTCATCAAAATTAAAATTTGTTGGTCCAAAGTGTACTTTTTGAAGTTTTCAACCGTATTTTGAATTCATTTTAAAACTAATATTTTACTTAGAAAAAAAAAAATAAATTGACTAAGATACCATAACTTAAAATTGGGGATGATATGTTTTTAATTATTAAATTATGATTTAGATAAATATAATAAAATGCTAATTTAATAACAAAATATTAGGCCACAATTATATTTTCTTAAGGCCACTTGTCCGAATTCACATGGACAAACAGGCTGTTTCATTGTTCAGCATCAAATACCCGATGAACTTGCGTATTCAGTTCTTCACCCCTTGCACCGCCGAGCGCCGACGTTTGACTCCAAGCTCAATTCGGTTTTCTTCTTCCCTGTCCGGCTTCCAAAACAAAACCCTAAACAGCTAAACCACTCATTTCCCGCAGTTCCTCGCCGGCGACGCTGAGCTTAAGCTTCTTGTCATCTGCACAAAGCCCTAGACTCTCCCGCCGATTTCTATGGCCGTTGCCATTATCCTCCCTCTCCTCCTCTTCCTCCATCTTACATCTTCCCTCGCCGAAACGCTCACAGACCCACTTGATCGCCAAGAGGACCAGCTGCGCCGGCTCGAAGTTTTGATCGAATCTCTTTCCAAGACCGTGTCCGTCCTCGAATCCTCCGTCTCCTCCTTATCTTCTTCGCCGCGGTTCGTTCATCCCACTTCACCGCCCTCTCTTTCAGAACCTAGTGTGGTCGGAACGGTGGCCAAACCCAAGTCGGCCTGGTCGGAGCGGTTTCAGTTCCTGGCGGCTGCGCGGCTTGGATCGGAAGCGACGTGTGCCGCCGTTCTTCCTTACCAGGAACTCGATGGTGTCAGCAAGTACGTCGCCGTCGGCGATAACGGCGGCCACGTACACGTCTTCACGTCCGCCGGCGATGTCTTAATCAAACTCCCCTCGCACTCCGTCTCTCTTGTCACCTCCATTCTCTCTTACCTCTCTTTCCGCCGCAACGAGAGTATCATTTTGACTGGTCACGCTGACGGCTCCATTGCAGCCCACCGCCTTTCGGAAACGGTATCGAACGGCGATGATTGGGTCACCCTATCGCTTTCCAGTTCTCGGCCTTTCGCTCTCGGGTCACGGGACCTAGACTCGCCGCCGGTGCTCGCTCTTGAGGTCCACCAGGTCGGAAGAATTCGTTACGTGCTCGCTGCTGATGGTGGTGGCAGGATCAGAGTGTTCACGGAGAGTGGGACCCTGTATGGAACGGCCATTGCTTCGAGCCGCCCACTTGCTTTCATGCGGCAGAAGCTTCTCTTCTTAACGGAGACTGGCGCCGGGTCGCTTGACCTCCGGTCAATGTCCGTGAAGGAGATTGAGTGTGATGGATTGAATGGATCTCTTGCAAAAAGCTATTCTTTTGATGGGTTTGAGAGGTCGAAGGCGTACGGGTTCACCTCCACGGGTGATTTAATCCATGTAGTTCTTCTTGGGGATGCTACCAATCTAAAGTGCAGGGTTCGAGCAATTAGGAAAGCTGAGATCGATGGCCCGGTATCAATTCAGACTATAAAAGGTTACCTACTTGCTGTTAATCAGGAGAAGGTGCTTGTTTACAACGTTTCGTCTCAGTATTATGGTAGGGTAGGAGCACCTCGGCCACTGTTCTCGGCTGGTATTCAGGAAATCAAATCTCTGTTCTCAAATTCTGATCTTTCAACGGATGGATTTGTTCCCGAGAAGCCTTTGATTGCCACTGACCGTGACAGGTTGGTGATTTTGGGGCTCCAGGGAGGATATATTGGGATATACCGCTCAAATTTTCCGGTGTTCAAGGCTGAGAGCAATGCAGTGGTGTGGAGTGCTCCTGTCTTCCTTTTCATATTGTTTCTAATTGGATCATGGCAGTTTTACGTGAAGAAGAAGGATTCCTTGGGTTGGGCAGGAGAGGAAACATTTGACAATGCAACTGGCACAGCTACGGTGAGCATTTTGGGTCCAGGGTCGAGTGAGAGAACTTTTGGTGATGGCTCGAGAGCCACAGACTTAAGGGAACGGAGAGGCAGTGGACTAAGAGGTCCAGCTCGCAGGTATGCTTCTCCTCAACGTTACACTGCAGGGGCTGGGGTTTCATTTAGGCCTGGTTCTGCGGATCCTGGTTTTAGAGGGCCTACAGATTTGAATTATAGGGGCCAGAATACAGAAGCTCCTGGTTTTCCCAAAAGGAGAGAACCGTTGTTTCAAAACACCCAAGTTGTGGGTGAAAACATTGATTGAGTTTTTGCAAGCTTTAGGGCTACTAGTTTAAAGCTCCAGCGGCACAACTGAATCGAATCCATGAAATTCTGATGCATTTTATTATGGCTTCAAGGCTTCAAGTTGTAAGAGAATGTCAGGCTTTTACACGAATATGGAAGCGTGTAAGTTTGTAGTATGTTTCAAGTGAACTTGATTAATGGAATACTCTGGTAAGAGATCTTTTTGATAAAAAATTTTGGCAGTTCACAATCTTCAGGAATTTTTACACTAGTTAGCTTGGTCAAGATCATGTCATCAATATAATTGAAATTGCATTTGAAAAGCTTTATTTTTTTTTAATTTGGATTTTTGGTCATTTTTAATTTACTCATTGATTTTGATATTTTCTTTCATTGTGATACATATTTTAGTATGAACTATTACCCCCTCTTGTGCACTCACAAAAAACCCGCCAATCATGGGCCAAAGAAAAAAAAAGGAGGTAAATCAAATAGTAGATAAGATAATACATATATATTTAACTTTCATTTGTGGACTTTATATTATTGGCTAGAAGCTTCTTATGGGCGCTTGCCTCATAGTTCATTGCCCTCTAATCACAATAATTTTTTTTATTAAAACTAGTATGCTCAATAATGGCTTGTTTTGCTAGCCCATATAGTTTGACCTATTATGTTGTTTTAAGGAGAAAAGATTGTCATTTACTCATTTGTGATCTAGTGGTTGAGGGAAAGATGACAAACCTAACCAAGATTCATTGTTTCTATCGTCTTGGACATAGCATGTACATTGTTTTATTTAGTAGAGGAGGTAGTTGGTTAATTTGATTGGATGATCCTTTATGACGCAGCGGCTAACACGCTAGAAGAGGAAAACCTGGTAAGGGAAAAACTAAATGGAACAGTAACGGGCTATCAAGCCGTAAAACTATGTTTGATAAAAATGAAGAAGATCGTAGTGTCTATTTCCCCATGGGGTCATAAAGCTATGCTAATTAATTAAGAAACTACTTAATTAAAGAAAACAACTAAATTGTAAAAGCTGTCTTAAGCATAATCGAATTGTCAAATAAGCAGAAGTAGTGCTTGGCAGTCTAGCAGGTGTTCCTCCGGAGCACTGTAGCTAACGGATGACCGCATCAGTCCTCCCCCGGTTCTGAGAAACTCGACTCCGACGATGTTTCAAGTGGTTGCGAATCATCTGGTGCGTGATAGCTGTATAAATCAGCCACGTTGAAAGTGGCAAACGTATGGATGTCTGGTGGTAGATCGATTACATAAGCATTATCGTTGATCTTGCTATGAATGGGAAACTGTCCAATCTTCCGAGGACTCAAACTTCGAATATGTTCCTTGAGGATAACGTTCCCTTCGCATTCTGAGCATCATCAATTCGCCCACATTAAACTTCTTGAACCCGCGATGTCTGTCCACCGATCGTTTATATTTGTCATTTGACAACTGTAAATTTTCCTTAACAGCCTTGAGAGTGTCTTGGATTTCTGCTATAGTCTTGTTTACAACAGACTTAGAGCTCTTGGGCAAAATAGCTACGTCAACTATTTGATTTGGCTGTTTGGTATAAATTAACTGAAAGGGCGAAGGGCCCGTAGATCGGTTGGGAGTGGCGTTATAGGCGAACTCGTCCTGGCTCAGTCGTTCTTCCCATTTCTTTGGATTGTCTTGCACTAGACACCGCAACATGTTGCCAAGGGTCCTATTGACGACCTCCGTTTGACCGTCCATCTGAGGATGATACGTCGAACTGAGTTTGATGTCAGTGTCAAGCCTTTTCCACAATTCTCTCCAAAAATGGCTCACAAATTTGACATCCCGATCCGACGTGAGGCTGCGAGGGATTCCATGTAGACGAACAATCTCTTTAAAAAAGAGTTGAGCTACGTTGACGGCATCGAAGGTTTTTTTCCATGACACAAAGTGTGCCATCTTGGAGAAACGGTCCACAATGACCATGATCGAATCAGAGCCTCGTTTGGTTCGTGGTAAACCCAATACGAAGTCGAGAGATAAATCTTCCCAAATAGAATCGGGAATTGGCAGCGACAAGTACAATCCTGTATTTTGAGCTGAACCCTTGAATCGTTGACAGACGAAGCATTTTTCCACAAAGCGAGCGACATCACGACGCAAATGAGGCCAAAAGAAACGGGCCTGCATCATTTCTATGGTCTTGTCCCTTCCAACATGAGCTGCTAAACCTCCACAATGGATTTCTTTAATCAAGTAAGGGCGCCAAGATGAGTCCGGAATACACAAATTGTTTCCTTTGAATAGGAAACCCTGCTGTAGCGTGAAGTCCTGTTTCGGTTGTCCGGCCTTGCAAGCAGCCCATATGCCAGCGAAATCTTTATCTTCCTCATAGAGATCTTGTAGGATCTACAAACCTGTCATCTCGGTTTGTAGACGGACAAGTAAGGCTTGTCGCCTACTTAAGGCATCCGCAACTCTATTGACTCTTCCTGCTTTGGGCTTAATGACAAAACTAAATCGTTGAAAGAAAACGATCCAGCGCGCATGCATTCGATTGATGTTCTTCTGATTATTGATGTACTGTAGAGCCTGATTGTCACTACACAGTACGAAATCACGGTGTAACAAATAATGCTCCCACTGTTTGAGAGCGCGAACAACGACATAGAGCTCTTGTTCATAGGCCGACCACTTCTGACGGGGAAGGCTCAACTTTTCACTGAAGTACTCTACCGGTCGCCCATCTTGGGACAAAACAGCCACGATGCCTACTGCCGAGGCATCCGTATCCACTTGAAAAGGTTTGTCAAAATCAGGGAATGCTAGCACCGGTGCTGAACTAAGGACTTCCTTAATTCTTTCAAAACTTTGTTGTTGCTCTTGACCCCAAGCAAATTGGGGAGATCTTAAACATTTAGTAATGGGGGCTGTAATACCACTGAAATTCTTGATAAAACGTCGATAGTAATTAGCCAATCCATGAAAACTCCGCACTTCCGTCATGGACGTTGGTGTAGGCCAACTCTGGATCGCCGTTATCTTCTGAGGGGCGGTGTGGACTCCGTCCGCCGATAGAACAAAGCCCAGGAATTGAATGCTAGGGACAGCGAATTCACACTTGCTAATGTTGAGGAGTAACTGGTTGTTGCGGAGTGCTTCCAGGATTGACTTCAAATGTGCTAAATGATCTACAAGATAAGAGCTGAATACGAGAATATCATCAAAATATACGACACAAAACTTATCTAAGTATGGTTTGAGAACGTCGTGCATGAGGCGCATAAAGGTCGACGGTGCGTTGCACAATCCAAAAGGCATGACCTTCCACTCGAAGAGTCAGTCGACTGTCTTGAATGCCGTCTTCCACTCGTCCCCTGGACGAATGCGAATCTGATGGTACCCACTCCTCAAGTCCAATTTGGAGAAAATGGAGGCCCCCGAAAGTTTATCCAGCAGATCGTTGACCCTGGGAATGGGGAATCTATATTTGACCGTGATTCGATTAATCGCTCGACTGTCAATGCAAAGTCGCCACTGTCCGTCCTTCTTTGGAACAATTAGCGTCGGGACTGCATACGGACTGAGGCTAGGTTGAATGAATTGCTTCTGCAACAATTCCTGTATAATCTACCGTAGAATGGAATGCTCTTTAGGACTCATCCTGTAGTGGGGCAGGTTTGGTAGGACTGCGCCTGGAACGAGCTCAATCTGATGTTGTAAAGTCCATAGTGGAGGAAGGGAAGTTGACAGCTCTCCTGCCCGTATAATTTTGTAACAACTCTTGAACTTGAGGATTAAGAGTAGTTTGCTCACCCTCTATTTGGTCACCTACTAGTACAGCAAGTAACGGACTGGAAGAGTCTTGACCCCTCAAAAGAGCTGTACCCGAGACTAGCCTCGCGGACAAAAGGCTATGCCCAGTCAAGGAATTGGGTTGCTGTCCCGCAGGCACTAGTTTGAGTCGTTTTCCCTTCCAATCAATGGTGTACGTATTAGCTCGTCCATCATGGACAGCTCCACTGTCATATTGCCAAGGTCTCCTAAGTATTAAATGGCATATGTCCATTTCGAGGACGTCACAAGTGACATTGCACAAGTAGCTCTTACCGAGAACGTCACTTTGCATAAATCGGAAACAAGGAATTCTACCTATTTCTTTACCCAACCGAGCTTAAAAGGGTTAGGATTTTTTGTGGTTTTAATCTGTAGTGCTTGCACGGCCGCTCGAGAAATGATATTCTTCGTACACCCACTATCAATTACCAAGTCACACACTTTACCGTTAATGGTACATTTGGATCGGAACAAGTTATGTCGTTGGTTGACAATAGGTTTTCTAGGGGCAATTAACAGCTTCTCCACCACGCATACAATAGGTTCCCCATCATCGGCCACTAATTCTTCAATCTCTTCTTCGGCTTCAACTTTTGGTTCCACTTGTTCGGTTTCGTCAAATCCTTCCAGCCATTGAGCCTGATGGCGTGTGGGACATTCATTAGACTTATGCCCCGGCTATAGACGCATGAAACATTTAATGTTCGACGGCTTAGCGTATGGATATGTTCGACGGCTTAGCGTATGGATTCTCCTTGCCCCCCCCCCATTGGGGAGTGAATTCCCCTGCCCCCCCCCCCCACACACACACACACACAAATTTGGACCTAGAATTTCCTTTTTCTTCAATCACAGGAGTGGATGTCGGAGAAGGCACAACAGGAGAATTTTTTGCTTGCGATCCACCAGGCTTAGTAAAACTTGGTGTTCCCTCATTAAACAACCTGCAGCCAGATTGAGAATGATAAGATCTCTGTAATTGAAGTTCTGCAGTTCTGCCTTGAGGGCAAAGTTTACTGCCTGCGATAATGTTCACACCGAGTTCAGCTCTAGCTTGTCTTGAATAGATTCCTTCAGTCCTCCCGTATAACGAGCGACTAATTGATTGTCGGACTCGGAGAGATTATTACGGGCACTCAATCTATAAAAATCTTTGGTGAAATCACTGACCGAACGTTGACCCTGTCTGCACTGTTGGTATTGGATATAGAGAAGTTGTTCAAAATAAGTGGGGAGGAAATGTCGCCTCATAAGCTGCTTCATTCGAGTCCAATCCCGTATCGGACCCTTGCCCTCCCGTTGTCTGCTTCTAGTCAACTGCATCCACCACGCGCTAGCTCCCCCCTTGAGTCGACAAGCTACGTATTTCACCTGTTTTGCCGGACTGATTTCCATGTAGTCGAAAAAGTTCTCGACCGCCGCCTCCCAATCCAGATAATCTTCTATATGAAGGCGTCCTTCAAAAAAGGGAATATCAAGTTTGATACGCATAACTTCATGTTCAGACCTCTGATTTCTGCGCCGCCTTGTCCGCGCCGCCCCTTGTGGATGTGGGTCTTCTTCCGCTTCCGAGTTTTCTTCCACTGAAGCTCCTTATGAATCTGAATCTGTGACTTCCGGGAACAATGTGGGAATTCCATGGTAACTGTCTCCATCCTCAACTGTCTACGTTGAGCCAGTATGATTGCCGGAATAACCGGGCGGACCATTGGATTGGTGGCCGCCCTGACTTGCCGCAACTCGTCTCGCATATCATCTGCGAAACGCGCCAAGCAAGTGATGAGCTCCTCCAATTGCTTGGATGTTTGTTTTTTGCGTCTCCCATAACGCCTCCAAGCTCCGATCTCCGTTGGTCCTGGGTCGGCTACTCCCCTCTGCCATAGTCGCCGCCGACTAGCTCTGATACCAGAATGACGCAGCGGCTAACACGCTAGAAGAGGAAAACCTGGTAAGGGAAAAACTCAATGGAACAATAACGGGCTATCAAGCCGTAAAACTATGTTTGATAAAAATGAAGAAGATCGTAGTGTCTATTTCCCCTTGGGGTCATAAAGCTATGCTAATTAATTAAGAAACAACTTAATTAAAAAAAACAACTAAATTGTAAAAGCTGTCCTAAGCATAACCGAATTGTCAAATAAGCAGGAGTAGTGCTTGGCAGTCCAGCAGGTGTTCCTCCGGAGAACTGTAGCTAACGGATGACCGCATCACTTTAATTGTTTCATCTAAGTTAGACCTCACACTGGGGAAGTGGGGGATTGTAGAAACTCACATTAGAGTGATTAGAGGCTAATTTTGCAGTCGTCATTGACTAATAGAGAACTTTGTGCTATATTGAGCATCTAATATGGCTCATATTCTTAGAATTTAAGCATTAGAAAGATGTTTTATTATCAATTTTTCATTGAACTATAGTGGCATTGTCATTATTAGGCTAACCTCACCTGGTTACATGCATGAATAAAACACATTGTCTTTTAAATATAATATAATGATGTGATGACCAATCATATACCACTTAGGCAGAGAACACATGCCTCCCTTTTGATAGGAGCTTGGAGTGCGATTACAGTGACACATCCTTGTGAGCTTTGTTAGACTTAAGTTTGTTGCCTTGGGAAATTTGATATTGGGGGTGGATGGGTGGTTGCTTTAAGTGTTAGCGACTTGTTAGTAATTGGACTATTGGGTTTTCTATTTATGTATTTTTATAACTTCTTGTGTTCTTGACATTATATGTGGAAGATATATTGAGCAATTATTTGCTCCAATGCCCTTCATTGAGAAGCGGATGGTTGATGTGTGTGAGGCTCCAGATTTGGCTTTTTTTGTGATTATTCTTAGATTTTGCGGAGTACTAGTGATGGTAATGTTCCATGGTTGTGATTCTTGGTGATAGGGCTTATCATTAGGAAGATGGAGTTATATTTTGTATTTAAGCTTGTCAATGAAATAAAATTCTCAAATTTATATTCAATAAAGTCTTAGACCAAGGTTTACAACTTAATGTTTTGTAATGGGCTGTAGTTTTCTCTTAGAAATTTTATATTCCTTTTTCTTGTGATCATGTGTGGAGGGAATTTCATATTTTCTTAATAATTTTGACTCTAGCTTAAATCATCTTTGAGTGAAATTTTATGGTCTTTAAGATTTTTCAAGGGTTTTATTAGTCTTTCTTAAACTTAAACTCGAAAAAGTCTTATGCGGGTTATACATAAGACCCAAAATAATGATGCAACAACAACAACAACAACAACATCAAATCTTTATCCCACTACATGGGGTCAGCTAAAAGAATCTTTTTTGTACATTGTGTTATGTTAAGAGTCAAATTTTCATTTTAGTCTAATAAAGAAAGGTCATTTCTAATATTTTCTAACCAATTCTTTTTAGGATTCCCACTACTTTTCTTAACATAAGCCAAATCTATACATCTACTCTCCTAATCGGGTCATGAAAAGGTCATTTTATGTGGCCAAATCATCTAAGGTGACTCTTTTTAATCTTATTTACCATTGGAACTACTCCAACCTTTTCACGTATATGCTTGTTTCGTATTTTGTCTCTAAGAGTAAAGCCACTCATCCATTTGAGCATTGTCATCTCTGCACCACTTAACTTAATATTATGCTTCTCTTTTAATAGCTAACATTATGTGCCATGAAGCATTGCAGGTCTCACCACCATCTTATAGAATTTTTCCTTAAGTTTAAGAGGTATTTTTCTATCACACAACAAACCCGAATAATTCCTCCACTTCGACCATCCAACTTAAATGCTACTAATAATATCCGCATCTTTTTCATGTTCACTCTGAACAATAGACCTAAGATATCTAAAACGTATGCTCTTATTAATGGCTTGATCGCACAAAATCACAATCCCCTGCTAGATCTATTACTTCTAAAATTATACTCCATGTATTCAGTTTTAGATCTACCCAAACAAAAATCTTTAGACTATAAGGTTAACCTCCATAATTCAAGTTTATCTTCAACTCCCTCTCTAGTCTTATCAACAAGAAGAATATCATCAGCAAAAGCTTACACCAAGGTACATCCTCTTGCAAATGTCAGTAAAAACATCCATGACTAAAGCAAAAAGATACGAGCTTAAGATTGATCCTTGATGTAATCCAACTGAAATAGAAAAATACTTGGTCAACCCACCTTGTGTTTGAACACAAGTTATAGCTCTTGCGTATATATCTTTAATGACTTGAATATAAACATTATTAACCCCTTTCTTTTCTAGAACTCTCCATAGCACTTCTCTTGAAACTTTATCATAAGCTTTCTCTAAATCAATTAATATCATATTTAGATCTTCTTTATTCTCTCTATGCTTCTCCATCAAACCTCTCAATAAATGTATCCTACCCGACATGAAACCAAATTGATTTCTAGAAACATTAGTATCACGTCGTAACCTATGCTCCATAATAACTTTCTCTCTCATAATTTTAAAGTATGACACATAAACTTAATTCCCCTATAATTCGCACAATCTTATGCTTCACCTTTGTTCTTAAAAATATGAATTAACACACTCATTCTTCACTCATGTAACATCTTTTCAATCTTCAAAATAATATCAAAAAATTTAGCAAGCCAAGAAAAAAATAATACACTCATATGAAAATGGCTTCCAAAGGCTTGAGATGTTTATCATTTGTAATTCTTGAAATTCTCTACGTTTTATATGGCATCATGATCCTACTTCTGGCAGATTACATCGAAGCATTAATTACTAAGATGTTTCAGCTTCCACAACAATTCAACTTGAGACAGCTCTTGGGAATGCTATCATTTAAACTCTATTTAGAATCCTCTTAGAAATGTGGAGTCTCTAGGGTAACTCTCATCATTATGAATCCTTTCACGATAATTTTGAACAGTCTCTTATGAATATGAAGATTTAAAGACATGAAAATTCATTAAAGGAAAATATTACATTTAGAGAATGAATTTGCTGAATGTTATTAGAGATAATTAATTTAGAGTTATTATGTGCTAGTAGATTTGGCGTTTGATATCTTAGCTTCGGCTGGGTTAAATATAAACATAAATCTGACAATGGCAGCTACAATTGTTGTTGGTGATTGCTGGTGATAATAGCCAGAATATGTTATTTACTTTTCAGAAGTCAAGACAGATCACTTATAGTACTGAAGATGATTTGAATCAGCATAAAAGACTTGTCAACGCTTCTGCGAAGGTAACCGTCTTTCTTTCTTTCACGCGTTTCTTCGACAAATTTGGTTGGACAGAAAAATCGCGTAGGTGAAATGTGCAATGCCAATATTGGTGTCGCACTGTTCACCCTCAACCGATTAGCGATTTTTTTGCCGTTTGAATAAAGCAAACCAGTTACGACTTACGGTCGTTTGGAGTTCGGTTGGAGACGCCCTAAGGCAAGTAGGCTTATTGTATTACCAAAATGGATATCAAATTGATGCAAGGGTACATGCTGGTAAGCGCAAATGATGTATTTGAAGTCACTGTACAAGCTAAATAAGGCATTTCAAATATTTTAATTTGTTTCAATATCCAAAAGATTTCGTAATTGTTTTTAATTCTTTCTTTTCAAAGTGTAAATGTGTTTGCTGTAATGCGTATCTTATGGTGCTTCAACTAAATGCTATTTATCATGGCAAATTAAGCAGATTTTAAAAATCTTATATTATTGTTTGTAATTCTTAAAGGTCTAATTCATGTATCTTTCCATATAACTGAGGAGAAGCTACTTTTCTCACCACACAACAACCTCATCCATCCATTCAATCATCTGATAATGGATGTGATCATTCATGTATACATATTTTTAGAATTTTCCATCTTTTATTTTATTTTTTAAATAATACTTGCAAGAAATCAAGTTGAAACTGCTTGTTTCAGTCCTAGAAGTTTTTTATTTTTTATTTTTTTTTTTTTCGGAAAATTGCCAATATTCACATAAAACGGTGGCCTTCCGATGACCCAGTTAGGAAAGTAGAGTTATTAAATTTGACTTATGTTAAGAAAGGTAGAGGCATACCTAAAAAGACTTGGTTAGAAAATATTATGAATGATCTTTCTTTATTAGATTTAAACGATAATTTGACTTTTAATTGGACACAATGGAAAAAAAAGATTCATGTAGCTGACCCCACGTAGCGGGATAAAGGCTTGATGTTGTTGTTGTTACTGGAAAAATTGACAATGTATAGTTGACATTTTATAATAAACTTGTACTATTGATGTCTTATGGGATGTAATGAAAATTATTGTGGAAATTGTTCAACAACTTTACACTGAGAAGACTTTATTGAATGTAACTCTTAGACTTCTATAAGGGATTGTTTAGTTGGAAGAAAAGTGAATGCAAAGCATAGTAAATATATTTTTTAAACTTTTTAGTATTTGGTTGGATGAAAAATAAATTCAAGATAAAGTAAAGTAAATGCAAAAGAATTTCATTCTAGTTCTAAGTAAAATATACAGAGTAAGTTATAAATATTTTTTTTATTTATAATTGTAATAGCTAAGTTATTTTTCCTATAATAATTTCATAATCAATTTTATAAAAAGCTAAAGTGCTATCAAACAAACACTAAATGTCATTCAAAATAATTTTGTTCACAGATCATCTGCTGCACTATGATATTCACACAGATATCTAATTACTTTTTTGGTATGAAGGCTGGGCACTGATTTCTGAGTGATGACAACATCTAAATTATTAAAAATTTAATACATATTTAAAATAAATA